TACAACAGCCCAAAATTTTGATAATTGTAATTTTTCATAACAATCATTATAATTTTTCTTCACTCAATTTTTCTTTTTTGTTCTTTATTGCTCTCCTTCATCCCGCATACAATTTTCAATGTATGCGGGAAGAAGGAGAGCAATAAAGTTTTCAATGTAATTATTGGTCAGGTCAGGTTTATCCTGCTACTGGTAACATGTAACCCAGTAAAATCTGCTTCATGTCCAATGTATGCAGGAAGAAGGAGAGCAAAAAATTTTCAATGTAATTATTGGTCAGGTCAAGTTTATCCTGCTACTGGTTACATGTAACCCAGTACAATCTGCTTCATGTCCTGCTGCCTTGTAGGATATGCCTTTTTAGGCAAAAGCTAGGAGATGCAAGCTCCGACATAAAACTGATGGTGTCTCAATAAAAATACTCATCTTGGGCAGATGTTAAATGCATCCGGCTGCTGTCTTGTAGAAGGCCTCCTAGGCAAAGACTTAAGGGGTAAACAGATTCTATCTGTTGACCAGCCTTGCACCCCTTCTTCATCTATTAGGCTGGCGCAGATGTATTTTTAATACATTGTTTCCAGTTTAGGATGTTAAACGCTGGATCTTCTTGACTCGATTCATGGGTTTTGCTTTTGTCTCTGTTTTTATGACTATGCAACTCATTCTATTATCTCCAAATGAGAGTACAGCTCTAAAACTTAGTTTTATGGTTCTGAGGCTGGCTGGTAGTCAGGTTTCCCAAACTCTATGGTAGCTCTCAGAGAGGCCGATTCCATCAACAGCTGAAAAATATCAGAGTACTAACAGTGCCATGTTGCGCATGGATGGTGTCCCTGTTTGTACTTTTGGTGTGCATTGCCAAGGCCACATTGGAGCCCTTTGTTACGGCTTAGGGTTTATTAGTGGAAATGAGGCAATTGCTTGGGCTATAAGACAGTGTACTGAGTACTATCTATGTTTCGAGTCAAGTTCTTTAACAAATTTAAAAATGAATAAAGTAACAAAAACTATAAAACACAAAAAACCACAGTCATCACCAAGTTCGCTAAACCTATCATTCACCAATATTTGTGGTCTTCGAAGTAACTTTTCTTCTAACTTTTCTCATCTTGTGATCTTAGTATTGATGGTTATCTTCCTTTAATTCTTAAAGACTCCAATTGTCACATGCTTCGCCTAGGCATTTACATTTGTAAGAATTCACCCGTTTGTCAGGAAACTACGTTTGAATCCACAGACTACTCTTTTATGTGCTTTCGTTTAGCACCACTTCACTCTATCAACTTTTTCTTTGTTCTAAATTGCTCTCCCTCATCTCAAGAATGCACTCTTCTTAATATTATTTCTGATTATATTGACCAAGCCCAATCTCGTGACTTCTGGAGAATATTAATATTTAATAATATAATAAGGGCAAGTCTGTAATTCCGCCTCTTTTTTACGGTTCAGACTTTGTCACCTCACCTAAAGACAAAGCTGAATTGTTTGCCAAGAACTTTTCATCAATATCATCTCTTGATGCCATTAGTTGCATTCTACCTGATATAGCCATCAAACCGGTTGATCCATTGCTCGACATTCATATCACTCCAGCTTCTGTATCTAAAGTGATTTCCTGCTTAGACTCTTCTACAGCTTGCGGCCTGGACAACATACCTGTTATAGTCTTGCAGAAGTGTTCTCCGGAGCTGTCGTCTATCCTTTCAAAACTATTCAACAAGTGCTTATTAGAGTCTTGCTTTTCAGTCTGCTGGAATCCAGCATCTGTTATCCCTATTTTTAAAAATTCTGGAGAGCAATCTAATTCGTCTAACTACCGTCCCATTAGTCTTCTTCCTATCATAAGCAAGATATAAAAAATACATTTCTAAAGTGTTTGATAAAGTTTGGCATTCTGGTCTTCTCCATAAGCTTTCTTCTTACGGTGTATCTGGAAACATCTTTCCTTTCCAAGCGTAGAATAAAAGTTATCCTTGATGGACAGCACTCTTCTTCTTATTCTGTAACCTCAGGGATTCCTCAAGGTTTAATCTTTGGCCCTATACTTTTTTTAATTTACATTAATGATTTTCCAGATATTCTCACATCTAAGGTGGCATTGTTCACTGATGATACTACCATTTATTCTTGTCACGATAAGAAGCCAACTGCCTCTGATTGCTTGCAGGGGGCATCTGAGCTTGAAAAGAATCTCACTTCTGCTACAGCATGGGGCTCACAGTGGCTGGTGAACTTTAATTCAGATAAAACTCAATTTTTTTCAGCCAATCATTATCACAATAATTTAAATCTTTCTATATTTATGAACGGTAATCTACTCGATGAGTCATCTACCCTTCATTTTCTAGGATTAACTCTCACTTCTGATTTTTCTTGGAAACCTTATATCAAATCTGTTGCAAAATTAGCATCTGCTAAAGTTGCATCTCTTTATCGAGCTCGACACTTTCTTACTCTGGATTCTATTCTCTATCTCTATAAATCTCAAATCCGACATTGTATGGAATACTGTTGCCATATCTGGGGTGGATCTTCTAATGATGCCCTTTCTCTTTTAGACAAGGTGCAAAAACGCATTGTAAACATAGTTGGACCTGCTCTTGCAGCCAACCTTCAACCTCTGTCACATCGTCGTAATGTTGCTTCTCTTTCTCTTTTTTACAAATACTATAATGGGTACTGCTTGAAAGAGCTAGTGTCTCTTGTACCATCTACAACAATTCATTCTCGTGTTACTCGTCATTCAATTAAGTCTCGTCATTTTTCTGTTACTGTTCCTAAGTGCTCCAAAAACTCTTATTCGTCTAGTTTTTTTCCTCGAACATCAGTTCTTTGGATTTCGCTTCCTTCATCTTGCTTTCCTGATTCATATAATTTGCAATCTTTTAAATAGTCTGTCAATCGTTATCTTGCTCTACAATTTTCCCTTCCAGTAACTTCCAACACTAATTAGTGGTTGCTTGCAGCCTTGTTGGAAGCGAAGATAGTTAAAAAAAAAATTTTCAGTGTTGTTTCTAATTAAACGGACCAAGCCCTTTCTTATTATTTCTAAGCTAAGATTTTTGTTATTGATGACCTTAATGTTCATCACACTGAAGGGCTTGGCTCTAGTACCATTTAGTACCTTCACCCTCATATTTTAAGGCGCCAAATTTTTACATTTTTAATCTTTTATTCAGATTGCGATAAGTGGTGTAGTGGTAAAGCGCTCGCTTCATAAACGAGTGGTTCCAAGTTCGATCCCCACCACGTCCCTGGTAGTACCGCGCTCAACTCATTTCTCCGCGCAGCGGCCTTGTTCGTCAAGGTTTGTGTTTCGGAGTTATAGAGTTGAGAGAGGGTTATAGCCACAAAATAAGTAGCCTCCTTGTCTGTAGTGGCCTTCTCGGCCTTGAGGAGGTGAAGTAAAATAAAAAAAAAAAAAAAAAAAAAAGATTAATTAATTTTTGACTTATTTTATAAGTTGAATTTTTTCAAAACTTATGTAACAAACAATATGTAAAAAATATTTACAAATTATATATTATTAATATATAAATTGTAAGCATTTTTTACATATCGTTTATAAATTAATATATAAATTGTAAATATTTTTTACATATTATTTGTTTCATAAGTTTTGAAAAAATCAACTTACAAAAAGAGTCAAAAATTAATTAATCTAAATAAAATATAATATTTTATATGTGATATAAAATTATTTACATCACATTGAAATGGTGGGAAATATGATTGACTATCAAAAGTTAAAATTTCTTAAAAATTGTTGAAATGTAAACAATCCATAAGCAAAAATTAAAATTAAACATGTTAAACTCTTCAATTATTTAAAATTTGAATTTAATATTTTGAACGTAATAACATTTATTAAATGTTGTAGCAAAAAGGATGTTTAAAAATAAGTGGACACTGATGAGACCTTTGCTTTTTAAGTAAAAAAAAAAGAATGATGAAGTACAACTAGCAAAAAAAAAATAACAACAATGAAGTGCACCTAGTAAAAACAAACAAATAATGAAGTACATCTATTTAAAAAAACAAAAAAAAAACACAATGAAATACACCTAGTGAAAAAAATTAAGTCCACAAAAACTTAAAAAAAAAAGGTTTTGTAGTCTAGCCTTGTCCTTCAGAAAGAGTTCTGCACAATACGCAGGTCATACCTCATGGTCATACCTCAGCATATCTTAAATTGAAATTCACCTCATATTTTGACATTGCAAAGTGGGAGTAAGTTTGGCACCATATCAACAAGATTGATTGCTTATTGAATATTACTTTTTGGCATAACTAATCTGAATTGTGAAGTTTTTTTTATGAGAAAATGTTTTGCAAGTCAAAGTGTTAACTTAAGTAACACTTTTTAGCAAATCAGATAATAAACATTCTATACTTAGCAATTGTATCAACAATTTTTTGTGTTTTAAAACATTTAAAAGATCAATAGACTTTTTCATCTTTGATCACTTTTTTTTTTAATTAAGAATCTGAGAGGTTACTCCAAGACCTAAAAATACTTCTGGCTACATAAACTGTTATTCAACACTACAAAACTTTCACAAAACCCTCATTATAAACATTGAAAAATTTATAAAACCAAACTATTGATTTACAAAACTTAAAATTTCTTCTCAAAAATTTTAAACTAAATTTAAAAAAATGAATACTTTTGTTGTTGATATGTTGCTAAATGTTAAATGCTTTTAATAAATTCTTTATAACACTACTTTTTGTGTTTACTTTTTGTTTTTGTTGTTAATTTTCTAATGTATTACCTTTATATGTTTTTATTATTAATTGTATTTTTCTAATATATTATCTTTATATGTTTTTATTGTTAATTGTATTTTTCTAATGTATTACCTCTTAAAAATGTTTTCTATATTCATATTGTTATGGACGTATGTCTAAGATGGTGATATTTTAAAAATAATAAACCAAAAATGCTTATAGTAGAGTATTAAATAAAACAATATATATAAATATATAACTAAAACAACCTTTATAGATAAAGAAAACAACAGCAAGTATGGAAAGCACAACAAGTGCAGCTTCTATGACATTCCAAAATTCATAAAAATAATGCCATCCTCTTCTATATAACATTTTGAACTCACGTATTGTAAAAATAAACATCAATAGAAGAAATATTATCTGAAAAATAATAGTTCCAACAGAATTTTCTGATGTTAATACATAGAGATTAAGTGAAGCCACATCATAGTAAGGCACCATTCCACCAAAAGAAGGAAACTCAAACACAATAGTAACCATGGTAAAATGATTTGTGGCAGCATTAAATAAAGCAAACTCAATAATCAAAGCTCGTGTTTGACGATCAATCCACTTTTTTTGCTTTAATTGTTTGACAAATTCTTTGTTTTTCCATTTTGGAAAAACTTCTAAAACATATCCTCCACCATTATACACTTCTAAAGTCGCAGAGAGTGGATATCCATTTAACTCTTCAGAAGTTTGATACCTCCATGGCATTGTTAACGAAGTGATAGAAGAGTTATATATTTTTGGTTTTTCCCAATTAAAATCAAAATCCTGAACTTCTTCGAATTTTATTTTGTAATCGGACAGACAAGAAGTGTTAAATAATTCAGATACTTCATTAGCCTTTATACAGGTGTCTAAAAAGTGAAGAAAAGTTTGATTTCATTTTATCTTTTAGTATTTTTAAATAAGTAACATATTTAACATAGTAACATGTTAAATAAAGGTAAAACTAAAATAATAAAGTAAATAAAAGCAGTTATTAATTTAAAAAAATATTATTATTTAGTACATTAAAACATGAGTAAAATATTATATTTCAGTATATTATACATGAGTAAAATATTAATTTTTAGTACATTGAACATGAGTAAAATATCATTTATCAGTACATTGAACATGATTAAAATATTATTTATCAGTAGAATGAACATAAGTAAAATATTAATTATCAGTACATTAAACATAAGCAAAATATTATTTTCAGTACATTATACATAAGTAAGATATTATTTATCAGTATATTAAACATGAGTTAAATATTATTTATCAGTACATAAAACATTAGTAAAATATTATTAATCAGTACATTGAACATGAGTAAAATATTATTTTCAGTACATTATACATAAGTAAAATAATATTTATCAGTACATTAAACATAAGTAGGATATTATTTATCAGTACATAAAACATAAGTAAAATATCATTTATCAGTACATTGAACAGGAGTAAAATATTATTTATCAGTACATAAAACTTAAGTAAAATATTATTTATCAGTACATTGAGCATGAGTAAAATATTATTTATCAGTACATTGAACATAAGTAAAATATTATTTATCAGTACATTATCATTATTTATCAGTACATTAGTATTATTTATCATTACATTATCATTACTTATCAGTACATTAGTATTATTTATCAGTACATTATCATTACTTATCAGTACATTACATTAGTATTATTTATCAGTACATTATCAGTACAAATATTATTTATCAGTACATGGAAAAAGAAGTAATCCACTGTTATTCAGGGTGGTAGCCCTCTTAGCTCCTGATTGGAGGTAATCCACTGTTATTTAGAGTGGTATCCCTCTTATTAGTAAACAGAATAATATTATTAATGGCAAAAGTATTATCAATGGCAAAAGAAAAAGAAAAGGGTTTTGAACACAATCCAATATCTGCACTAACAAACTGGCCGAAAATGGTTGGTCAACCATCAGAAACAACTGCTAGACATGGCTGTTGGATTAAGTCACTCGCAGCAACAATTAAATTTCTCACAGACAAAATATCAACACTTGAAACGGACAATGTTGTTCTTAAACTTGAATTACAACAAATTAAAGAGCATCAAACAACAACACAAACTTCACTAACGTGTACAGTTAATTCATCAGTTTGGTCAGAGTTTGTAGCTAACCCCAAATCAATAGCAGCAAAGGCTATTGCAAAGGTTACTGAACAAAATTATAAGATGCAAGCAACTAAGGCAACTAGTGTAGTCATTAATGGTCTTCCTTGCGCAAAAAGTAACAATGATGACAAAGCTGCTGTAAAAGGTGTTATTGAGGCCATTAAAACAGGTTCAACTCACAAAATAGTCCATAAGCTTCCAGCAAATATAAGTGCTCGAAAGGACTCTCCAACTGCTCAACCGATTATTGTCCAATTTGAAGATGTGGAAACTAGGAACAGTATACTAGCTTAACCGAACTCCTTCTGAGGTTGATACTTTTAACAAGCTTAATAAAATAGGAAAAAGTACAATGACTCTCTAAAGACAAATAATGCACTCAATCAGCCCTTTCGATTTGTCATCCGAGGAAGGAGGCTCAAATGCATCAACACACAAAAAACAATCAATATTAACGGTACTGAGAAAAACCCGTTTGGTGACTGGAAAGAAGCTTGCGCAGCTGCAGGACTATCATATGTAATTCTAGTCTGAACAATTAGCTAATCAATCAGCACATACGTCGGCACCAAACAAAAGCAATCTTCATCAGAGCAAATCAAAATCTCTCCATTGCTTCTGCACCAATGCAACTTCACTCAATAAAGACAAAATTACTGAACTCCGATTATTAGCTGAACAAAACAAATATGATCTAATTTTTATAACTGAAACTTGGTTCAATTCTACTTCTGCTCCATCAATCAATAACTATATGCTATTTAGGAAAGATAGAATTAGTTACTGAGGTGGTGTAGCAATTTATGTTCAAAATGATATAATGGCATGTGAACTAGACAATTCGCAGCTAAATAAAAACTTTAAATGCAAAGAATCTGAACAACTTTGGGTTGAAATAAAGTTACTATCAGAAAAATTTCTAGTAAGTTGTATTTATCGCCCTGAGAGGAACTCACCAACTGCTTCAGTGCAAATAAATGAAATAATTTGTGCTCTTGGTTACGCTAGATACTTAGTTGATACAAAAGTATATAATGGCTTAATTGTGACATGAGACTTTAACTTTCCAGGCATAACTTGGCAATCTGACTGGAGTATCACATCTGACAATGAAAATAGTCTTGAAAACAGGTTCAATGATGCTCTCTTTGACAACCACCTCTACCAGCATGTCAAATGTCCAACTTTTATAAAAACTGATGGAAATCTTAGCATCACACTTAATCTAATTATATCAGAATCAAAGATAGAATCAATAAAGTTTTAACAGGACCTTGTCTTGGTACAGCCTCTCAAGGGCATATATGTCTTAGCTGGCAGCACAACTTAAGCAGTAGTAATCAAAATAGTTTTAACAGCAAAAAATTCCTTCATAAATATAGTAAATATGATGAAATAAACACTTTTATAAATAACATAAATTGGCAAGCTAGATTTATGGACTATGATGTTGAGAAATGTTATTCCATATGGTCTAACCTCTATAATGAAGCATGCCATAAGTTTATTCCAAAGGCATCAAAAAATACTGCCAAAAAAAGGCAACCCTGGATCACAAACAAGTTAATGAAGCTAATTAGACTAAAAAAAGAGCTCTGGTACAAAAATGCAAACTCAAAGTGGAAAAATGCAGCGAACATCACAGAGTATACAGCTGTCAAAAAGGAGGTCAAAAAAAATAGCAAACGAGCATTATGTGTCTATGAGTCAGAGCTAGCTAACGACAAGCACAATCCAAAAAGACTATTTGCATATATTAGTAGTAAATGGATAATCAAATAACGCGGTAGTGGTGTAGTGGTAGAGCGCTTGCTTCATAAACGAGTGGTTCTGAGTTCGATCCCCACCACATCCCTGGTAGTACCGCTCTCAACTCGTTTCTCTGCTCAGCGGCCTTGTTCGCCAAGGTTCGTATTTCTGAGTTATAGAGTTGAGAGAGGGTTATAGTCACAAATAAGTAGCCTCCTCGTCTGTAGTGGCCTTCTTGGCCACTGCAGACGAGGAGGCTACACCTATTTATAAAAATGGTAGCAGAACAGATCCAGCCAATTACAGGCCCAGATCGCTCACTTCTGTTCCATGCAAATTTATGGAAAAAATAGTTAGACAAGTAATAATCAATCATTTGGTAAATAACAAATTGCTTTCCAAAACTCAACATGGTTTCGTTTCAAAAAAGACTTGCATCACAAATCTTTTAGAAACAATGGACTTTTTGACTTTTAGCAAATCAAAGAAAAAACCAGTCGACCTAATTTTTCTTGACTTTGCAAAGGTATTTGATAAAATTTCACATATAAGATTGCTGCAAAAGCTTGAAATGTATGGTATAAATGGCAATCTTCTAAACTGTATAAAAGCCTTCTTAACAAACCGCAAGC